ACTAATTTTGGAGACGCCTAAGGCAATACACCCAGCACTGCCTCGAGAGTTTGGACTAATTTTGAAGACGCCTAAGGCAATACACTTAAAAATCCCCCGAGAGTTTGGACTAATTTTGGAGACGCCTAAGGCAATACACCTAATACTCCCCCGAAAGTTTGGACTAATTTTGAACACGCCTAAGGCAATACACGTAACACTTCCTCGAGAGTTTGGACTAATTTTGGAGACGCCTAAGGCAATACACCTAACACTTCCGCGAGAGTTTGGACTAATTTTGGAGACGCCTAATGCAATACACCTAACACTGCCCCGAGTTTGGATTAATTTTGGAGACGCCTAAGGCAATACACCCAGCACTCCCTCTTTTGTTTGGACTAATTTTGGAGACGTCTAAGGCAATACATCCAGCACTCCCTCGAGAGTTTGGACTAATTTTGAAGACGCCTAAGGCAATACACCTAACACTCCCCGAGAGTTTGGACTAATTTTGGAGACGCCTGGGCAATACACCCAGCACTCCCTCGAGTGTTTGGACTAATTTTGGAGACGCCTAAGGCAATACACCCAGCACTCACTCGAGAGTTTGGACTAATTTTGGAGACGCCTAAGGCAATACACCCAGCACTCCCTCGAGAGTTTGGACTAATTTTGAAGACGCCTAAGGCAATACACCCAGCACTCCCTCGAGAGTTTGGTCTAATTTTGGAGACGCCTAAGGCAATACACCTAACACTCCCTCGAGAGTTTGGACTAATTTTGGAGACGCCTAAGGCAATACACCCAGCACTCCCTCGAGTTTGGACTAATTTTGAAGACGCCTAAGGCAATACACCTAACACTCCCCGAGAGTTTGGACTAATTTTGAAGACGCCTAAGGCAATACACATAAAATCCCCGAGAGTTTGGACTAATTTTGGAGACGGCTAAAGCAATACACCTAACACTCCTCCGAGAGTTTGGACTAATTTTGGAGACGCCTAAGGCAATACACCCAGCACTGCCTCGAGTTTGGACTAATTTTGAAGACGCCTAAGTCAATACACCTAACACTCCCCCGAGAGTTTGGATTAATTTTGGAGACGCCTAAGGCAATACACCCAACACTCCCCGAAAGTTTGGACTAATTTTGAACACGCCTAAGGCAATACACGTAACACTTCCTCGAGAGTTTGGACTAATTTTAGAGACGCCTACGGCAATACACCTCTTTACTCCCGCGAGTTTGGACTAATTTTGGAGACGCCTAAGGCAATACACCTAACACTGCCCCGAGAGTTTGGATTAATTTTGGAGACGCCTAAGGCAATACACCCAGCACTCCCTCGAGTGTTTGGAATAATTTTGGAGACGCCTAAGGCAATAAACCCAGCACTCCCTCGAGAGTTTGGACTAATTTTGAAGACGCCCTAAGGCAATACACCTAACACTCCCCCGAGAGTTTGGACTAATTTTGGAGACGCCTAAGGCAATACACCCAGCACTCCCTCGAGTGTTTGGACTAATTTTGGAGACGCCTAAGGCAATACACCCAGCACTCCCTCGAGTGTTTGGACTAATTTTGGAGACGCCTAAGGCAATACACCCAGCACTCACTCGAGAGTTTGGACTAATTTTGGAGACGCCTAAGGCAATACACCCAGCACTCCCTCGAGAGTTTGGAATAATTTTGAAGACGCCTAAGGCAATACACCTAACACTCCCCCGAGAGTTTGGACTAATTTTGGAGACGCCTAAGGCAATACACCCAGCACTCCCTCGAGTGTTTGGACTAATTTTGGAGACGCCTAAGGCAATACACCCAGCACTCACTCGAGAGTTTGGACTAATTTTGGAGACGCCTAAGGCAATACACCCAGCACTCCCTCGAGAGTTTGGACTAATTTTGAAGACGCCTAAGGCAATACACCCAGCACTCCCTCGAGAGTTTGGTCTAATTTTGGAGACGCCTAAGGCAATACACCTAACACTCCCTCGAGAGTTTGGACTAATTTTGGAGACGCCTAAGGCAATACACCCAGCACTCCCTCGAGAGTTTGGACTAATTTTGAAGACGCCTAAGGCAATACACCTAACACTCCCCGAGTTTGGACTAATTTTGAAGACGCCTAAGGCAATACACATAAAATCCCCGAGTTTGGACTAATTTTGGAGACGGCTAAAGCAATACACCTAACACTCCTCCGAGAGTTTGGACTAATTTTGGAGACGCCTAAGGCAATACACCCAGCACTGCCTCGAGAGTTTGGACTAATTTTGAAGACGCCTAAGTCAATACACCTAACACTCCCCGAGAGTTTGGATTAATTTTGGAGACGCCTAAGGCAATACACCTAACACTCCCCGAAAGTTTGGACTAATTTTGAACACGCCTAAGGCAATACACGTAACACTTCCTCGAGTTTGGACTAATTTTGGAGACGCCTACGGCAATACACCTAACTCTCCCGCGAGAGTTTGGACTAATTTTGGAGACGCCTGGGCAATACACCTAACACTGCCCCGAGTTTGGATTAATTTTGGAGACGCCTAAGGCAATACACCCAGCACTCCCTCGAGTGTTTGGAATAATTTGGAGACGCCTAAGGCAATAAACCCAGCACTCCCTCGAGAGTTTGGACTAATTTTGAAGACGCCTAAGGCAATACACCCAACACTCCCCGAGAGTTTGGACTAATTTTGGAGACGCCTAAGGCAAGTGTTTGGACTAATTTTGAGACGCCTAAGGCAATACACCCAGCACTCCCTCGAGTGTTTGGACTAATTTTGGAGACGCCTAAGGCAATACACCAAGCACTCCCTCGAGAGTTTGGACTAATTTTGGAGACGCCTAAGGCAATACAGCACTCCTCGAGAGTTTGGACTAATTTTGAACACGCCTAAGGCAATACACCCAGCACTCCCTCGAGAGTTTGGACTAATTTTGGACACGCCTAAGGCAATACACCTAACACTCCCTCGAGAGTTTGGACTAATTTTGGAGACGCCTAAGGCAATACACCCAGCACTCCCTCGAGAGTTTGGACTAATTTTGAAGACGCCTAAGGCAATACACCTAACACTCCCCCGAGAGTTTGGACTAATTTTGAAGACGCCTAAGGCAATACACTTAAAAATCCCCCGAGAGTTTGGACTAATTTTGGAGACGCCTAAAGCAATACACCTAACACTCCTCCGAGAGTTTGGACTAATTTTGGAGACGCCTAAGGCAATACACCTAACACTCCCTCGAGAGTTTGGACTAATTTTGGAGACGCCTAAGGCAATACACCCACACTGCCTCGAGAGTTTGGACTAATTTTGAAGACGCCTAAGTCAATACACCCTAACACTCCCCGAGAGTTTGGACTAATTTTAAACGCCTAAGGCAATACACCTAACACTCCCGCGAGAGTTTGGACTAATTTTGAGACGCCTAAAGCAATACACCTAACACTGCCCCGAGTTCGGATTAATTTTGGAGACGCCTAAGGCAATACACCCAGCACTCCTCGAGTGTTTGGACTAATTTTGGAGACGCCTAAGGCAATAAACCCAGCACTCCCTCGAGAGTTTGGACTAATTTTGAAGACGCCTAAGGAAATACACCTAACACTACCCCGAGAGTTTGGACTAATTTTGGAGACGCCTAAGGCAATACACCCAGCACTCCCTCGAGTGTTTGGACTAATTTTGGAGACGCCTAAGGCAATACACCCAGCACTCACTCGAGAGTTTGGACTAATTTTGGAGACGCCTAAGGCAATACACCCAGCACTCCCTCGAGAGTTTGGACTAATTTTGGAGACGCCTAAGGCAATACACCCAGCACTCCCTCGAGTGTTTGGACTACTTTTGGAGACGCCTAAGGCAATACACCCAGCACTCCCTCGAGTGTTTGGACTAATTTTGAAGACGCCTAAGGCAATACACCCAGCACTCCCTCGAGAGTTTGGACTAATTTTGGAGACGCCTAAGGCAATACACCTAACACTCCCCCCCGAGAGTTTGGACTAATTTTGAAGACGCCTAAGGCAATACACTTAAAAATCCCCGAGTTTGGACTAATTTTGGAGACGCCTAAAGCAATACACCTAACACTCCTCCGAGAGTTTGGACTAATTTTGGAGACGCCTAAGTCAATACACCTAACACTCCCCCGAGAGTTTGGACTAATTTTGGAGACGCCTAAAGCAATACACCTAACACTGCCCCGAGAGTTTGGACTAATTTTGAAGACGCCTAAGGCAATACACCTAACACTCCCCCGAGAGTTTGGACTAATTTTGTAGACGCCTAAGGCAATACACCTAACACTCCCTCGAGAGTCTGGACTAATATTGAAGAAAATACCATTCCCAATTAAAGGTTAGGATTAATTTAGCCTGCAGCTGTATCAGCTGCTAATTATATGATGGAGATTTGCATACGAATATAGCAGTAACATTGTGTGGCTTTTCGTTTTCAATGTTTAAGCTTCAACTTTTTCTTTTTGCTGGCATAATCAGTGTTTTATTTTTTTTCGCTGACGTTTTCAAAGTTCCAGTTAGAATCATCTTACTCTCTGATGCTTTCCTTTCCCGAACTTCGATCGTAATTTCTTTTATAGCTTTTTTTTTTTTTCCTTTTATTTTTATTTTCTTGTATTGTATGGCTATCATGGTTTTTGTTCATTCCTCGCTGCAGATTAAGTGTTCCGGGCCGAAAGTAAGCTTTTGTCGAAGTTGCAAATTCCTGATATTGATGTTAAAATTATTAGCGTAGAGTTGATTTTTGTTCAAAATATTGACCGACTTTGTTCGGCATGCAGCGACATATCCAATACCGTGTAACATAGGAAAAAAAAAAAAAAAAAAAAAAAAAAAAAAAAAAAAAAAATAGTCAAGAAAATGAGGCCCATTATAGACGATCGACTGTAATATTCGCAATAGTAGCAGTAACAGTATCAATGATTATAGGACGAAGATTCTACGAGGGAAAAATTATGAACAAAGAAAGTTCGAGAAGAGGAGAAATTTAACAGAGAATAACATAAAGAATAAATTAAATAAAAAGAATCGAAATGTAAGAGGAAGTCGGGAGGGGGCGGGTGGTTTTGGAAAGAAATTTAAAGCAAAAAGGTAGAGATAGATAGATAGATAGATAGATAGATAGATAGACTGAGATAGATAATTAACAGGCTGAGATCGATAATTAACAGACTGAGATAGATAGATAGATAGATAGATAGAAACAGAATGATTTAGATAGAAAATTAACAGGCATAGATATATAGATTGATAGATACATACATAGATACATCGATAGACATCGATAAGGATAGATAATTAACAAAATGAAATAGATAGATAATTAAAAGACTGAGATAGATAGATAGATAGATAGATAGATAGATAGATAGATAGATAGATAGATATTGATTATCATTATAAGTTAGATAGATCACGCTAGAAAAAAACGCTTCCCCCAAAGAAACTGTAACTAAGGTCCGCTCAGCATAGTTGCAGTATAAACCACAGTTAGGCTGTGTGGGTTTTGAGCAAACAAAAATTGTGCTGGAGCAGGCGTCTGCAATAGGGATTGCCTAACCGGCCTAGTAGACGGCTATCCTCGGATAGAAGTGGTCTATTATTATTATTATTATTATTATTATATTTCTGAGTCGAGTTATTATTATTATTTATATTTTTCGGTATGTTGTTCTCATCTTTGTTGCCATATTCACGATGTTTCGGACGTTATACGGTCCAGCCTTCTGCAGGTGATTGGAATTTCATACTGAACACTTTATTACGCTCACCGGGGATATTGTTCTGGTTCCACGTGCCATGCCTTTTTTGGATGTTTCAGTATGAGTTACCTCCCTTTACCTCAACTGTCCACGTTTTTGTTTATCTCTACTGTAGCCAGGTGTTAAGTTCAATATCGATAGATGAACAAATTGAAATAGATAGATAGATAGATAGATAGATAGATAGATAGATAGATATGGTTAGATAGATAGATAGATAGATAGATAGATAGATAGATAGATAGATAGATAGATAGATTGAAATGGTTAGATAGATAGGTAGATAGGTAGATAGATGAACAGAATGAAATGGTTAAATAGATAGATAGATAGATAGATAGATAGATTTGAACAGAATAGATTTGAACAGAATAGATTAAATATCTAAAAAGAAAGTAAGAAGCGAAAATTCGAAATGTTAAAACTTTTACATATTATTATGGATTTTTATTAATGGACGGCAAATAATAGAAATCATGTTTCTCTGATTTTTAATTTTTTTTTTGTATTTCTTCTTTTTTTGCTTTCCTCATTGTTGCTCGTCTTCATATTCCTCATTTAATTTCCAGTTTTCCGAAATTACCATTCCTAATCACATGACTGTATCCATAGTTTATCATCTTTTGATTTGCTTGTAATAGTCTTTGGTTTCCATGTTACTCCTCGTCGCTGTCTGTTGTTTCTTGTGCATTTTGCTCTACTCCGCATTCCATCAACTGTCCTCACTGCATCATCCCATCCATCTCTAGACATACAGACAATATGGACAGTATTATATCCGATGGAGGCCTTGAATGACAGGTATTATTCATTCGCCGTAATGGCTTCTGCCTCGGCCGCGGCTCTATCAAAGAATTGGGAATTTGCATCTACGCCATTAGGCTTTATTAACTATCTTCCTCGCTGCCGACAGGAGAGAGTTTCCCTCGGTAGATATCTTTGGTTCGTAACACTGATTATATCTTTTATCTATCTCCACGGTTTGATTTATTTCTATCTTTCTTTGTCTATTTTCTACTCCTTATCTTTTCTATTTCTTTCTTTCTTTTCTATTTCTTTCTTTCTTTCTTTCTTTCTTTCTTTCTTTTATCTTCGTTCAGCCTTCTCAATGTCTTTCTTTATCTATCTCCACGGTTTGCTTTATTTCTTTCTTTCTTTGTCCCTTTTCTACTCCTTGTCTTTTCTTCCTTTTTCTTTCTTTCTTTCTTTCTTTCTTTCTTTCTTTCTTTGTTCATTATCTACTCCTTGTCTTTTTCTTCTTTCTTTCTTTCTTTCTTTCTTTCTTTCTTTCTTTCTTTCTTTCTTTCTTCAATATGTCCATTATCAATAGTTTTCTCCTCCAATTTTTAAATCCATTATTTCGATATTTCTATATTGTTTCTTTCTATTTGTTTTCTTTTTTCTCTTATTTTCAGTTGTCATTTTTCTTCTTTCTTTTTCCATCTATCTATCTATCTATCTATCTATCTATCTATCTATCTATCTATCTCATTCTGTTTCTATCTATCTATCTATCTATCTATCTATCTATCTATCTATCTATCTATCTATTAGTTCACTTTTTAAAATCCTTTATGGCTTATTTTCCTTTTCCTCTTCTTTCTTTACTTTTTCCTTTTTTCTCTTTTCTTTCTTCTCTTTTCTTTTTATTTCACTAATCACTTTTATTTTTTGCTTCTTTCTTTTCTCTTTCTTTCTTTCTTTCTTTCTTTCTTTCTCTTTTTCATTCTTTTCACACTTTCTTTCCCTATTTCCATTATTGTCCTCCTTTTCTTTCTTTCTTTCTTTCTTTCTTTCTTTCTTTCTTTTTATATTTCTTTCCCCACTGTCTCTATTTTACTTTCTTTCTTTCTTTCTTTCTTTCTTTCTTTCTTTCTTTCTTTCTTTCACATTTTTGTTGTGGTAGGATCCACCTAATTTGCGTAGTGGAGTACAGACTATATAAATATGGTTGGTACCGGGAAGAGAGAGAGGAATCAAGAGATTCACTCTCAGTCGAACTCTCTGCATTTTGCAGTGAGGGACCCGGACGAGGCTTTGCCGAGAGGCAGGGTTTCGTCCGGGGTGGTAGACAGGCCTTGAACCCGTCGAGGCGGGTTCAGAAAGGCCATATTTTGGGCCGAGCCTATGGGATAGATAAATACAGGAATCAAGAGATTCAACCAGAGACTCTGCCCGACTGCGACTCAGTCAACACATTCTCCAGTAACGGTCTTACCAGGAATATACAAAAGACTATATGCAAATATTGTGTACACTTTCTTTTTTCAATACATTTTGTTCTAAGTACATTTTGTGTTGAATTATTATTCCATGCATTAGTCAAGTTTCAAGAATTTGAAAAGAAGATCCAACGATACCTGACGCATTCTGTAGCAAAGTACCAGTTCTCGTCTAAGACTTTCATTGACCATTTTTCTCTCTTCGTCTCATTAGATTCCCTAAATATCTATCCATATTCCCATTAACTGCTTTCTCTGCCACCATCACTCCATCGAAAATTGTCGTACAGGGACCCATTATTATATTTTTCCTTCTTCGTTTCGTCCTTTCTTTCGCTTCGGGAAAAAAATTAATTAGAACTTTGTTGAGTCGGCCTTTTTGTCCACCGCATTGTCAAACATAACAAAGTTAAACACAGGCATAGACAGACAGACAGATAGACAGACAGGCAGACGGTATCAGTAACAGTGAAAAAATGACATGCATTGAAGGACTCATATACAAACGGTTCAAAAATAGACAGGTCTCTTAAGTATTTTTGATGCACTCTGAATATGTGTGTGTGTGTGAGTTTGTGTGTGTGAGTTTGTGTGTGCGTGTGTCGAGCGTTGTGCAAGAAGTGACTGACAAATTGACAAGTATAGGGACATATACGTCAGAACTTATGAAAATACACCCGTAGATCATTTCGTCATTGATAAAATTACACACAGAATATATAAAATATAAGACAGCGGTGATATACCGGAAGATCTAAGTAGATCCACTTTTATAGCACTACCTAAGAGGCCATGAGCAAAATAATGCGAACTCTGTAATTAGCCTAATGGGCCACATGGCAAAACATATCATCCGAAATCTGATGAATAGAGCTCTTATGCAGAATCATACCGAAAATAGGACAAGAACAGTGCGGGTTTGTTAAAGACACTGGAACAAGGAATGCAATATTTATGTTCAAAAGGATATAAGAAAAAATACAATACAAATGAAAAACTAAGTAAAGATTTTTAGATTATGCAAAAGCTTTTGAAGAACGTCACAAAGAACTATTTGAACTGTTTGGTAAGCTTCATTTATTTGGGAAGTATATTAGAATAATCCAGAACCTATACTAGGAGAAGACTATATTAATTGAAGATTAATTCAGTCAATACAAAAACAAACAGAAAGGACGTAAAACAACGAGGTGCCTTCTCACCGGATTTATTAAACTGTATAGTAAAACAGCATTGGGAGGGTTACAAGTTATACAATGATTCATTATTAACGGCCACAATCTTAACATCATTATATATGCAAATAACACGGTGTTGATAGCAAACAAAGAAAGGAACCTACATGAAGTCCCACAGAAGGTAGTAAAAGAAAGCAAGAAGAAAGGAAGAATGTATGGTTGTCATCAATTCGAACAGTGATCCGTGAACATCGAGTTGGAACCTCCGAAATCATGCAAATACAGTCACTTAAGTATCTAGGAAGTGTTTTAACGGAGGACGAAAAAAGATGCCTTCCAAAAATTAAACAAAGTATTAAGAAACAGGAAGATTCCGTTAGAAACAAAGAAAAGAGTATTGAACTGTTATGTAATATCATTATTTACATTGTTCGGACGATTGTCCTCATCATTATCACTGGATATAACGAACTCTTTTATCCATTGTGCCATCTTCTTATCCCTCTTGCCTTGTCCTGTGAGTGTCAAGTTCTCCAAGCCCTCATTACGAGCCCTGAGAATTTAAACTGTCTCATTTGTATTCCAAGTATGTCGCTTTTTTTGTTTTCCTTTTTGCGAAAACTTCGTTATTACTCATATGTTTAATCCATGGTATCCACAGATCCCTTTCTTAGAAATGCATTTCTGTTGCTTCAAGTTTCTTCTACATCTGTGAGGAGGATTAAGGACAAACACATATGTAGGGAAAAATACTGGTATATTTGAAGAGGTATTTAACAACAGAGTGATTAGTAATAACAAACGCAGGTTAGTAGTAACAATCAACAAGAGTCTAAAGTCCAACGGTAACTTCCGGTAAAATTGAGTTAGATCCAGTGAAAGGACCTAAAGAGTGTGAGTTTAATACCCGGTTAAGGCAGTGGAGAACTTGGAGAGGGAAATAAACGGGAGATAACTGATAACTGACATCCATTAAACATGGCACGCTGAAGTAGAACAGTCTATCCCGGTGAGCGAAACAAAGAGTTCAGTTCGACATTCCAACTACCTGAAGATGGCCGGGGCGTACAACGGCTGAAACGTTGTAATAAATATGGCGACAAAGATGCGGACAATAATGTATATAATGTACATAATACCACATCTCAGAAGTATACACAGATATGTAATATCAGTTCTCCTATATGGCAGTGGATGCTTGACAACTTCCTCACAGATGAAGAAGAGACTTGACGCAAGAAAAAGAAAGAAAAAAATACTGAATTCTTACGTAATATGAGTTCCCTCCTATGGCAGTGAATGCTTGACAACATCTTCACAGATGATGAAGAGACTTGACGCAAGAGAAACAAAAAAAAATTACTTAACTCTTTCGTAATATCAGCTATGTAATATGTAATCTCCTATAGGGCAGTGAATGCTGGACATTCTCCTCACAGATGAAGAAAAAACTTGAAGCAACAGAAACGTATTTCTAAGAAAGGAATCTGTGGATACCATGGATTAAACACTTGAGTAACAACAAAGTTTTAGCAAAAAGGAAATCAAAAAAGCGTCATACTTGGAATAAAAATATGATAGGAGACGTCACATAGACGACACATAGCCCCAAAGTGGTAATGTACGATTTAGGGTTTGCTTTGTTTTATTTTACCACATATCAACCTCAATGCCTGTTGAGATGTTGGGAGTGTTCCCGCGTGCGTGTGTTGAAATAAGGACAAATACATATGTAGGGAAAAATACTGGTATATTTGAAGAGGTATTTAACAACAAAGTGATTAGTAATGACGAACGCAGGTTAGTAATAACAATTAGCAAGAGTCTACAGTCCAACGGTATCTTCCGGTAGAGAGACGGAAGTGTAATGGTCACCTGATCTCTTAGATCTCCTCAGAACTCTCTAGCATTATCCTATATCGTAGAGAGATCAGTCCATTCTCATGAGAAGGTGGGTGGCCCCAACAATGCCGATAAGATTTTTGTTGCTGGTAATATTTTTTTACAAAATTGTATTGCTGGTATTAAAACCTATTTTTACACTTTCATAGGATTTTGACTCCAGTTTAGGGGTTAATTATTTACCCATAGCTGGAACCCTAACAGGTCAGGGTGTCCCTGGGAACACCAGCAATTAAGAGGTGGTTCTACACTCCTCAAAACCTCCTGATCAGAGCCCTTGCTGCCGGATGTAGTCTATCGTCATAGCCAGGACGGGTAATGTTCGAAACAAATATTATATATAAAATAATATAATATATAAAATCTTGAACGAAAAACCTAACAACGCTCCAGATATTTTAGGCCTAAATCCCGATTTATAATTTCATTTTTTTTTACCGCTAAAATGAAAAGACTTTTCAATATTCGTGTTTGCTTATTTATTTACTAATTCGTAATTTGTCTTGCTTTCTAGTGTTTTTCTTTACATAACGCTTTATGTCAATATATATCTAAAATTCTGAGATTTGCGTTAGTTCGTCTGTCCGTTACACCCTCTAAAATACCTATATATTGACTGATCGAAAGCAAAATTTGGGCAGAAGTGCAAACAGGTAAGTGCGTGCAAAGTAAAGTTGGTTTGGTTTGGTTTGTATTCTTTTACGGTATATCAACGTCAATGGGTCATTTAATGCACACAACTTATTTTTTCCTGGTAATATTTTTGTTTTGTCAAAAATCTATTTTGAATATTATTTTTTCCTCAAAAATGTATAGCTGGTAATTTTATTTTTTCAGAAACGTATAGCTAGTAATCTTTTTTTTTCAAAAATGTATAGCCAGGAACACTATACTTTCAAAAGAAAAAAACGTACAGCTGGTAATATTATTTTTTAAAAAACGTATTATCAGAGGCGTTGCTGTTTGACGTTGTTTATCGTCTTACCCAGGAAGCGGATGTAGTTTATCGTCATACCCAGAACGCGGATGTAGTCTGAGGGTTAAGTATTTGCCCATAGCTGGGACCCAGAAGTATTGAAACAAAATGGCTATTTTTGTAGTGATTTTATAACATATTTATGTTATAATTTTCGAATAAATAATTATATATATATATATATATATATATATATATATATATATATATATAAGTGCATGGCAGAAATCCTTCATTTTTGCATGTTTCATTAAAAATGACAGACAAGTTACTAAGATTAAGCTTTTTATTTAATTTTTGACTGTATGTTCGCTCCCGTTGTTATTTACTTTCGGGAGAAATAGTCGAATTTAGTGGTCTATAAGGTGGTTAAGGGAGCCATTGTTAATTAGTTGCCTGTTTTACATTATTGAGTTCTTTAAGGAAGAGTAGTCGACAAGATGAATTCTGGTGTGCTCTTTTTAAGATTATTTAAACACACACACAAACTGACCACACTCCATCTGAAACATACTAGTAGAAAACACAAGCATAATAACCTTATCCACTTATAAAAAAAGATTAAAAATAATGGAAGCCCTAAAAATAAAAAATAAAATGCTTACGCTCAAGAATATTAATTATGAACACGGCCACAATGTGCTGTGTTCGGAAAATAAAACATCTCTATAACACTAAACGCATACACACAACGCAAACACCCAATTAAAATGCAAAAATAAAATCATCCTTGATAATGGCTAAAAGTATAGCCGAAAGCACTCAGAATCATAGAACATTTGAACAATTTCTACTCACTCTGTGTCTGTTGTCGAACGCAAGAAAAATTAAATAAAAGTTTTATCGTGGTACCTTATCTGTCGTTTTTAATGAAACACACACACACACACACACACACACACACACATATATATATATATATATATATATATATAGTGCATTTAGCCAGCAATCCTTCATTTATGCATGTTTATAAAATAACTAGTTATATTAAAAGTTACTACGATTAAGCATTTTTGACTGTATGTTCAGTATCGTTGTTATTTACTTTGGGGAGAAATAGTCTAATTTGGTGGTCTATAAGGTGGTTAGGGTTATATATATATATATATATATATATATATATATATATATATTTATATATTTAAATAAAACAGACCACTTTAAGGTTCCATGTAATAAATTATTTCACCACAGCCCTTCTAAAGGACTGCGGATCATCAGACTTGACTTCCAAACAAAAAATGAAAAAAAAAACAAATATATATATATATATATATATATATATGATTTCAACCAACGGGAGAGAGTTCCACATGTGGGAAGTGCGCCAAAAGAAACTCTTGGGATAGAAGTAGAGCTTAGATTTAGTTATTTCAACAGTAAAATTGTGTGGTTTATTTTCCAATGCAGTAGCACATTCAAATTAATGTAGTCGGGTCACAAGGAAAAAAGCTTGACAGAGCAGCTCCCATGGAAATATTTTCAGAAAAGACAGAGAGAAGCCACGTATATATATATATATATATATATATATATATATATATATATAAGTAACAAAAATCTTGGTAATCCGTATGGATAATCCCAAGGAGGATAAAATCCTGAGAGCTCAATGTTAATTCAGAGCGAATAATTTAATTTAAAGAAAAACAAACCACTTTAAAGGTCCCATTAGTTATAATTTATTTCACCAGAGAATTTTATTTTCTCTGGATCTTCTGTTTCATTTTGTAAAGGTGAAACAAAAAATGAATTTAAAATTTACACTTTTCTTTTACAGAGTAAATTTTAAATTCATTTTTCGTTTCACCTTTGAAAGTGAAGTCTGAAGATCCAGAGAAAAAAAAATTTTCTGGTGAAATAAATTATAACTAATGGAGCCTTTTGTAGTGGTCTGTTTTTCTTTTAAATTATATATATATATATATATATATATATATATATATATATATATATATATATATATAAAATGAAGGAAGAGGTTATAGTAGTTCCAACGAGAGAAAAAGTGTGTATATTAAAAAGAAGAGAGAAGCTGCAACCGTTTTTGGTTTTAATGTGGATTTTGAAAAAAAATATATATTATGCTTTATTTTCCGTAATTTCGCTACACGCGTTTCCGGTCGCGCGACCTTCATCAGACAAAGAGTGGATATTTCCACATATTATTAAAATAAATTAATTTTTCTCATGTTTTTCGATGTTAAATATTCTCGATATTAGATATTCTCTTTTTTTGTGTGTTAGTGACCCAAATGTCTTCCTTGAACTATTATATATCTGGCTAGCAATCTCTTTTTTATACGTGTTTCGATAATACTCTTTGTGTTTTTACAAACCTTATGTTGGGAAAAAAAAATCTTGTACGAACACAAGCGGCACACTGTCAATCGTCCTTAACGAAACTCTCTCTCTCTCTCTCACACACACACACACACACACACACACGCGCGCGCACACATATTCATATATATAAATATATATATTATAGCGAATAAGTAACACAGACAATTGTTCTGTAAGAGGAATGGACGTGCATTGTTCGTCTAAAATTCAGCTTTCTTTCTCATTCGACGAACTACGCCGGTCTTTGCTGTTTGAGTGAAGGCATTTAGCAGATCTTGCGTAAAATGACAGTCTACTTATAGAACCAATTGGCCAAGCAAACGGAGACGTACTTAGTGGACTGTGATGCCAACCAAAATAATGCTATAAATATCTTTACTAATGTTGTCTGCATGCTAGATACGCTACTCGAATTAAACATCAGCCAGCCATATTTCTCGTTCTTTTCGCCTGCGTCGTGTGCAGACATAATGTCATATTTCTCGGACTCATAAAAAAAAAGGTGAATTTTATAAAACAATCTTGTTCCTTAAGTTTTTCTTCATTTCCTCCCACTCTATTCTCCTCCTTATCCTCTTGCTCACGTAATTTTCCATGTTTTCTTTTTTTCCGTTCTGCTGTTCTATCTTTCAGTCTTTCCTTTTCATTTCCACTGTGGCTTCTCTCCGAACAATTCTGCCCTCGTAATTTCTTTCTTTCTTACTTTCTTTCTTTCTTTCATTCTTTCTTTCTTTCTTTCTTTCTTTCTTTCTTTCTTTCAGTCTGTCTTTCTAATTACTATTCCCTTTTACCAATTCATTCTTTATTTCTTTTACTATTCACTTGTGTCTGTTCTTCCCTTCTTTTTTTCTTTCTTACTTTTTTTTCTTTCTTACTTTTTTTTCTTTCTTTCTTTCCCTTTTTTTTGTTACTCTACTCATGTGCGTGTTCTTTGTCTGTCTCTCTCTCTTTCTTTGTCTGTCTTCTGTCTCTCTTTCTTTATCTGTCAGTCTGTCTCTCTTTCTTTGTCTGTCTGTCTGTCGTTTTTTCTATGTTTTGCTATTACCTTGTGCCAATTCTTTTTCTTTCTTTCTTTCTTTCTTTCTTTCTTTCTTTCTTTCTTTCTTTCTTTCTTTTACTATCATCTTGTCCCTGTTCTTTCTTTTACTATTCTATTGTGCTTCTTCTCTCTCTATTTCTTTCTGTCTTTCTTTGTTATTCTTCTTGTGGGCCAACGCTTTCCTTGAGATTTCGTTTTTCTTTCTTTCTTTCTTTCTTTCTTTCTTTCTTTCTTTCTTTCTTTTACACTTCCCTTGTTCCAATTCGATCTTTTCTTTCTTTACTATTCTTTCTGGCGTGATTTCTTTCCTTTACCCCTCCCTTGTACCAATTCATTCTTTCCTTCTTTTTTCTTTCTTTTAGTATTCTCTTGTGTCTGTTCTTTCTTTCTTTCTTTCTTTCTTTCTTTCTTTCTTTCTTTCTTTCTTTCTTTGTTATTCTTTTTCATTTCGACTCTATCTTCTCCCAGGCTTTCTTTTATCTTTCTTTGTGATTGTGTAGCGCCGGTCTATCAGATCAAAACTTTCACAGTCCTCTTCAGAACCCACAGTGTTTCAACGTTATTTAACCGTAAGCCTGAAGGCAAAAATGATAGATGAAGACGACTATAGACTACCAAGCGAGCTTGAGTAAATGGTTGCCGAGACAGAATTCAGGAAAGATAACAAAAAACAAAAGCTACAAAGAAAAGGAAAATGTGGAGAGTCGTGATCTTAAATTTCATGAAAGGACACGGTACATAGAAGAAGAAGAAGCTTGCATCAATGATGTTGGTCTTGTGGTGATGGTGGTGGGGTGCTTGTTTTCCAGCAAGAATCAAGACGTCGAACTCTCTGCTTTGGGGATGAAGGGGAACAGAAGTCGTGGACAGGCCCAACCCCGTGTGTGCGGGTCTACGAAGAATTTTTGCCTGAGCCCACGAGCTCGGATCGCCCCACATAAAAATGTGGCTTGTGCCACATCCTTCCTTGTGGGGAGAAAGGATTTCCAGCAAACATCAAGACGTCGAACTCTCTGCTTTCGGGCAGAGGAGGAACGCAGACGACACTCTGCCCTTCGCCATAGCCTCGTCTTGGGAGGTGGACAGGTTCGACTCTGTGTATGAGGGTCTAAGGGTAATTTTTGCCCGAGAATACGAGTTCGGATCGCCCCACATAAAAATCGGTCTTGTGCCATATCCTGCATCGTAGGAAGGTCGGGTAAATACCGGCTTTCTTTCCAGTGTAGGCTTGAGCAAGCATCAAGACGTCGAACTCTCTGCTTTCGAGCAGAGAGGAACCCAGACGAGTCTATGCCGAATGACAGAGTCTCGTCTAAGAAGGTGGTCAGGCTCGAACTCGTGTATGCGGGATCTGCTGATTAGGCAAGCATCAAAACGTCGAACTCTCTGCCTTTGGCACAGAGGAACCTTGATGACGCTAAGTCGAAGTGCAGTGTCTTGTCTGGGGAGATAGACAAACCCAACACCGTGTATGCGAGGGTCGACGGAGAATTTTTGCCCGAGCCTACGGGCTCGGAATACCTCACATAACAATCGGCCTTGTACCACATCCTGCTACGTGGGGAGGTCGGTCAAATACTAGCTGCTTTCCATCTTCAGACGAACTTGTATCTTTCTTGTTTAAAATAAACCGTTATACTTTGTAAGTTGGCGTTCTAGTTTTTATTTTTAATAACCACCCCTGACAACATTACAAAAGAACCCCAAACTGAGTAAAGCGTTTGCGCCACCCCATTCTCATAAGAAGACTGTTTGTAATCAGGTTTTGTTTTCTAGATTTTCTTGCCATTACAGACAGAGACATAAATTATACGAATCGTCTTAAAAACAAGATCGTGACGATAACGTATATTTGAAAAGTGACAGTAGATGAGTTCTTGGTTATCGTTCATTTCTCGAAAGATTCCTGAATTTAATTACCGACCATCTTCGAGAAAATAAGACGAAACATCCCGCTAGTTTTTTTTTTTTTTTTTCAGTAGTCGTGTTAGCAAGTCAATAAACAAAGCAAAAACTTAAAAAACAAAAAAACAAATCATGGACAACAAAGAAGACGAATTCTATTCAACTTTGTCACTTCTTTGCTTTTATTTATTTAGCTACATTATTTTTACTGTGGCACCAGCTAAATAACAATTTCTGCTGTTGTAGGTAACCCATGAAATCCTTTACACTCACAGGAAACAGGTAATCTTTTTATAACACCTTCCGCTCGTTAAAATGTCCGCTTCCATAGACTTTCATATATTATCTGTTACTTATCATCAGAAATTAGATTTGTGTTCTGTCGTGAAAAATCGACGTATATGAAAGTGAATCAGTTATAATTACTTCTATGTGCCGTGTCTCTTCAGGACGTGGGCGATCATGACTCTTCCCAACTTCCTGTTACTCGTAACTCTTGGCAGTGTTTATCTTTTTTGCTATCTCTCCTAGTCCCTGTTCTGCTTCCATTCACACAAGCACGGCCGGATTAATCTCTGCTTTCCTCTATATCTCTCGCCTTCAACATGTCTTGCGTGTGTTATATTTTCCAAGCTCTCTTTCCTTATAATTTGCATAAGAAATTTAAGCTCTCTTTTCTTTTCTTTTTTTAAATATAAGCGTCCTTTTTGAGTCTATTTTCTCTAAAACTTTTTCGCTTCTCACTTGTCCAGTCTAATGTATTCTCAGCATCCTTCTGTAGAGCCACATTTCTGCTACTTGAAGTCTTTTTTTAATCCGTGAGGAGATTTTCCAACATTCATTACTATATAGGAGGATCGTTATTACATAAAAGTTCAGTGCTCTTTTCTTGTTTCTTAGTACTTTGATTAGGTTTTTGGAAGTTATCTTTTGTTATTCCTATGTGCTTCGGATTTCGGTGTCACATTTTCCCTTCTTTCTTAAAACATTTCTTCTGTTAAAACCTTTTTTTGCACTTGCTGGACTTTGGTACCTCCATTTCTTAGCTCGTGTCTCGTGTTGATCCTTTTGCTGTTGATACGTTGTTTAATTAATTTATAGATTCCTCTGTCCTCGTTTTCCTATCTTCTGGAGGGGTGCCTGTAGTTTCAATTCCGTGTCTGCTATCGACTCGGTGTCATCTGCATTATCTAATGTTGTTAAAACTGTGAGTGCTAATAACGAACACTGAAGGAATTCTAATTCTCCTCTAGGAGAATTAGAATTCACAAGAAAGGTTGAATAAATCCAATGAAAATGCATTTCCTTGTTTTACACTCTTTTCCATTTTTGTGTATTTAATGAATTCATTTTCTATCCGTGTGTAGGCGGCTTGCTTCCAGTATAATTTCAGTATTAACCGAATATCCTACCTCCCAAAATCAAGCTTACCTAGCAGTTCAAATAGTTCTTTAAGACTTGCGTCATCAAACGCTTTTGCATAATCCATAAGACGTTTGTACAGAGGCAATCTTCCTTCAGTTACTTTTGAGATCATACGATTTATACAGTATTTTACTTACGCATTTTTCTGCCCTTAAAGAGTGGGTTTTTTTTTTTTTAATATTTTCTATATATTTTATTTTTTTTTAATAAATTTTATGCGTTGTGACAGCAACTCGCTATCCCCAAAATGGAGTTCCAGGAATAAAGCGTGTGGCTTCAGAAAGGGTCTACTTTGAAGGAGATTAAATACCAAACTGATATTTATTTTCATACTACCAGTCTCGATATCTTTTAATAAAGCTATATATATATATATATATATATATATATATATATATATATATGTTAGCAAGGTCTATTTTACTGTTTTTAAACTATAATTCTCCATGATCTTCTTTCGTACGTTCAAATCTGCTTGATGCGTATCCAAATGTAAACAAATGACGTCACACATTATGAAATGGACAATTATTTTGACATTTTTTATGTTTATTAAAAAATGATTTAAAATATATATTTCTAGTATTTCATATATATATATATATATATATATATATATATATATATATATATATATATATGTATTTGTGTGTTTCTATATTTCTGAAATGAGGTATTGAGATTATTTACATTGTAACTATTGTCCCCATCTTTATTGTCATGTTCACGACGTTTCTGCCGTTTTATGCTCCGGCCTTCTACAGGTGATTGCAATTTCGAACTGAACCCTTTATTTCGGCCACCGGGGTATATTGTTCTAGTTCCACGTGTCATGCCTCTTCCAGATGTCTCAGTTATCTTCCTTTGACTTAACTCTATAAATAAAACGGCCCAACCGTCATGAAAATGACAGTAAAGATGAGGACAACAGTCCGAAGAAAATAAATAATGCAAATAATATATGTGCATGTGTGTTAATAATTTCCTTCTCAAAAAAGGCAATAAAACCACTAAGACGCAAGCGCTTACTGAGTGATAGAGGGTATGTGAGAAGAAAAACAACACTATTGAGAAGAGAGAACAATAAAAACTCAGGAATTAAGATTTGTTGGTTGATTTTGTTTAGCGACATATCAACACCTCTATGGGTTATTTAATGCCGGAATCTAAATCTTTCGGAACAGTTTTATGACTTCAAATAAAATATATATTATTAACACAATTGTATGCCTTCAACAACAGATAAAATGTATTGTTGGTCATTTTGTTATAAATACATATTATTGGTAATTTTACTATAGTGTTGGTTGATTTTATGGGTTATTTAATGCCAAAATGTAAATGTTTTGAATACATTTTTATGGCTTTAAATAAATATATTTTGAGCGCAATTGTATATAACTTTAAGTGTATTTTTGGTCATTTTTTATATAAAAACGTATTACAGGTATTTTACTTGACGAATGTATTTTTATACATTCAGGGTATTTTGTTTTTGTATTGTGTGGGTTCACTATTTGCCCATAGCTGGGACCCTAACAGGTGATACCATCCGAGTCAGAGTGGACCTGGGAACCAGATCAACTAAGCAGTGTATTCCAGGCTCCACAAAATCCTCCAATCTCCCAATCAGAGGCCTAAATTTAGTTATCATCAGAGTAATTAAGAAGAGAAAAGATGAGGAATGACATTACATTTACATTTTTGAAGTTGACCGGGAAGCAAGAAGACAAAAGAGAGTTACACAAGCGGGAAGTGCGAGAAAAGAAACTGATATCATAGAAGTTACAGCTGCACCTAGCTAAGTCAACTGTAAATTGATCAACTTCGATGATCATAAGAAAACCGGTGTTTCAACCTGATACGGCCTTAAAAATCTCATAACCGTATATTATTAATATTATTACAAATTTCTGTCCGGACATTATTGTCCTCAGTAAATGCACTAAGAACTGTGATAGTATTGATGGTGATTTTATAAGCGCATCGTAGATGTGACACAAAGCAAAAATTACGGGGCATCCAGTGAGAATCGAACTCACTACTCAGATATAATGGTTTTAGCGAGACAAGCTTGTTAACCATTACACCCCTGTCATATTATTGGTGATTTCACTTTCAAATGACACGAATATAGCAAATAAGGTGATTGAGAAAATGAC